CTGAGTGCTGGAAGGAGTTTCTGATGTGGGAGCAGCACAAGCCCCAGCGAGTGAAGCACCACAAGGACTTGTCAGCACCATCAGGTCCCACTTGGCCCTTTGTGCTCGTCAGAGCTTGATGAGGCTTTACAAAGACAAAAACCTGCTCCTCCAGAACTGGTTTGGTTCATCTTCTGGTCCTTCCAGTGTGTGGGTGCTGGGGGAGCCACTCCAGTGTGTGCTGCTGGGGCTCATCCAGCTCTGTCGCTGGGATCCATGCGCGAGGATAGTTAGAGTCCCTCCCCTGGCTGTGCCTCCTCAGCTTCACCCTCAGCATTACTCACTGTGTTGTACTCAGCCTGTCCCATGTACACCCTCCCCTTCCCCTGGCAACTGTAAGGTCTATTTTTGACATTTTAATAAACTTTTATTTGAAAACTGAGGCTCCTGAGCAAATCAGGGTGGGGAAGGATGTGCTTACGGACACAAGGTGATGGTGCTTGGTGATTTTCCAGTTCGGAGACAGCAGCACGTTTAGGTTTGTGTGGTGAGAAGTTCCAGCCCTGCAGATGAGATCTCAGCAACAGGTGAGAACTTTGTTCTTCTTAGAGTTAAAGAATTTAAAGGCAGATAGAAAAAATAATTAAACAATTAGCTTTATGTAAGGGGACTCACAGGTAAGTAGAAATGGAGTTCTGTGCTTAGAAGATTTATGGTCCAACTGCTGGAAAAGTCAGAGGTGGCTCAACATTCACTCCCTGTCCTGTGTTCAAAGCTGCTACTGGACCTTCACCTCAGAGCTGGGAACTGGGAAACTGCTATGAGATCAGGGAATTAGGGGACTCAGCAGCAGCAGCAGCAGCTCAGGAGTGCAGGAGCTGCTCTGGAGCATTCACTGCTCACTCCTCAGTGTCCTGGCACCCTCTGTGTGGAGGAACCACAGTCCTCTGCTGCACATGTCTTCAGCCAATAAAGCTTGAAGAGAAATCCTACAGAACAGAGATTCCACCCACCTCCTCCCTGATAAGCTGTTCCATGGCTGCATTGTGTTCCAGGTGGAAAAATTAACCTCCCAGGCTGTATTTTTGGCTCTGTGCTAGGAGAGGCTGTGATGGCTCTGCCCCTCAGGGGCAGCAGCTCAGCCCTGTGGCTCAGGTGGGCAGGGCAGGGTGAGCTGGAGGATGTGCAGACACGCTCCGAGGGCACCGGGAGGGAGCCAAGGCACACCTCGAGCCGTGTGTGAACTCCTCACAGCCCTCGAGGCTCTCACTGCGACTCACTGAGTTTGGGTTGTTTTTCCTGACAGGATTTACGAGAACACTTTTTCCACTGGCTTTTCCAGCAATGTGGTAATGAAGGGTCTGGGCCAGGCTCTGTGCTGGGGCTGCCAGAGCTCAGGAGCAGTGCAGGAATCAGCACTGAGCTGGGAGCTGTGCTGGTGGTCACCTGGATGGACTGTGGATTTCAGTATCCACATCCTCCCCATTGGGAATGGGAGCAAAGCAGAGGTTGGATGAGGAATCAAAAATCTCAAAGCCTCAGCCAAAAGTGAATTGACATTGCCTGGAGGTTTAGCTTCAGGCAAGAGTTGGGTGAGTGTGTCCTGGCAGGAAAGTCTTTGCCATCCCAGACCTTTGCCTGCAGCCTGGGGCCTGTCCAGGAACACTGGAATGCCTGACTAGGATCGGGAATGCACAACCAGGATTGGGAATACTTGACCAGAACTGGAATGAAACTTGAGCTTCATAGCTGGGATGTAACTGGATGCAAACCCTGGTCCCTAGGAGGTTTCCCTGCCCATGGCAGGGGTGGATCTGGATGGCCTCTAAGGCCTGTCCCAACCCAAACTGTTCTGGGATTCCATGAAAACCAACTTGGGAATTCTTTTGATGCTGCTGAACAAGGCTGTGGCACACAGAGAACCTGAGTGACAGACACAATTCCAGCTTTGCTTTTCCTCTAATGCCCCTTTAATTCAGTTCTGTAGCCAAACCCAAAGTGTCTCTCCAGAGACCCCAAACCCCCACAGAACCCTCAGCCACCAGCAAAGGGAACTCTGACTTCAAACACAGCCCAGCACTCCTAAAGGAGCCTCAAACTCTTCCCAGGCTCTCCAGCCACACTTCCTGCTGCCAGGATTTGGGCACATAATCCCAAGAAAAACGTTTGAAGAATTCTTAAGATGGGAGTAAGCTGTGTCCAAAGGCATTGACTGGATTTTACTGGAGGTAAATAAACTCTCAGGTGTCTCAGGAATTGGTTCATAAAGTCTCCCAAGTCCATGGTTTCTTCACTGCCTCAAGTCTTTCCCTCTGCACTTCTGCCATTTGTCATTACTGCACAGCAAATGGATAGGAAAGGGAAGAA